GCTCTACTGCACCCACCGCGGTTGTTGTTGAATGTGGTGGTAGAGAGTGTGCTGCTGGGGTAGGTGGTGTGGTTTACCGTCGCTGGAGTTTCCTTGATAATCTCGGCTGCGGATGTTGCTGCTGACTGTCCTTGTAGTGCTTGTGTAGTGTCCCGTTGCTGGTGCTGCAGTGCTCAAAAGGTTGTGTTGCTCTGAACTATTTAGTGTTTCTACTGGCTTCGGCACTTGTGCTGCTGTGTGGGGCAAGTGTTTGTTGCTGTTGCTGATATGGTCTTCGCTGTGGTTGTCATTGTCGCTGTTGTCGTCCTGATTGTCGTGGTGGCAGTTGTCCTACGACATGGTCATTGCTGCCTTCGTCGTCGTCTCCTTCAGAAGTTTTGGGAATGTCAGCTGATCCCGGTGATGGTTGGAGTTCCTGGTAAGAGACCCACTGACATCTCAGCCAGCTGCTTCTTCGCAACTCCCTAAACCCTATAGACTCTGAATATTCAATCCCATGAGCCTTAAACCCAAAGCCTACAACTCGTAAGCTCTGAACCTTAAATCCCTATAAAACCTTTAGATCCTCTAAACCTCACGCATTCGTAACCTCCGTCGCTAGGTCCTAGTGGCATCAGGATGACAACCTCCTCCATGGTCGGCACTTCGGTGCTGTGCACAATTTAGGCGGTAGGTTGATTTAGTTTGAATATAGGGTTTCAAAATGTAAGTGCTATGGCGCTTACGGTTGACATCGTGTTTAGTTTTAGGCAGTGACATGCTCTTCATGTAGCCCATTGGTCGACTGAATGCGAAGGATTGTGACAAAGCTCAAGACGTGTTTATGTAGAACGCCCAGCAAGTAGCCAAGATGTTGAACTGTTCAAGATGGCCTCATCTCACCCCAGATAAAGGAAGAGCACCTTTTCCGGGCTTGCGGCATGGAAGATCTAGGATCTTTCGCGGCTTTCCGATGCACTCCGACCATGTGCAAAGTCGGCTTTGTTCCAACTAGGAGCTTCAGAAACTCAGGGGCATCTAACCTTCATATGCCTGAACCCCTATCTTGATACCGATCCCCTTCACAATCACCAGAATGCCAAACCTATAAACATCAACTGGCCTCCGGTCTGCCAGAAATCCGATCCCTAAGTCTCGGAAGCCCCAGAATTTTCAAGAGCCCAGGACATCGCAGCTTTGAAGCGCCTGAGCAGCTGGCTCAGTTCCACGCCTTGACTCTCGATTTGCTCGATAACCCGCTGAGCCGCGCGCAGGTGAGAGGCAGGTGACTGTGAAGCCACCATCCGTGCCTGCTGCAGATCAGTGATCTTGAGACCCTGACGCCGCGCACCAATCATGGCTGACACAAGCTCTTCCAAGAACGGCACATTTGGTTCAATATCATAAAGAGCCATCTGGCTGGCGACATCCGTAATATCTTTCAGAGGCTTCCCACTGTGAGCACCCACGAGCAACGCGAATGTGATGACATTGGGTGTTACATTTACACGGACCATTTCTGAATAGAGGTGCATTGCTGCTTCGTGCTGGAGCGAGTTTTTGCACGCGTCCAGGGCCTGGTTGTAGTCAAGGACATTGAGAATCTTTCCCCTATCCTGCATCATGTCAAGCAGCTGTGTAGCAAAACCGTGATCGGCGAACTGCGCCGCTGCATGCAGGGCTGCACACATGAGCGAGTTCGCACTCTCGGAATCGTTCCACAGGTTCGCGGCACGTGCCTCATTCCAAACCTTCATCGTCTCGTCCTTTCGTTCAAGTTGAGAAAAGAGCCGAATTGCACAGCAGTAGCTCTTCAGTGTCTTTTCTACACCTCGGTGACCAAGATCCTCATAGATCTTCACACCCTTTTCGAAGTTGCCAAGTTTTAACGCAGCTACCATGAGCATGTTAAAGACTGGGGCCGAGGTCTTCTCAGAGGTGTCGAAGGCATGCTGGGCTGCATACCAATCATTGCGATCAAGAGCACCTCGAATTCTGTCACATGTCAATTTGTCTGCGGTGGATAGCCCGTCGACGAAGTCATCCAAGCCGATTGTCAAAGGCACATTCAGGCCTTCTTCTTCACGCTTCTTTTGAAGTTCTGTTCTCGAGATCTTTGTGCTGAAGGTGGTGTTACCATAGCCAGGATGCCAGAGTCCGGACAGAAGTGATGCCAGCCAGAAAAGAGCAGCAGATTTTCTGAAGTGGAGAACAGTCGTCAGACCTTTCCAGCACGCAGCCTCAAAACCCTGAACCCAAACCCTGAACGTCGAAGACACGCAATTCTAAACTTAACCCCCAAACCCTCTCCCTAAACCCTAAACCCTAAACCCTAAACCTCAAACCCTCTCCCTAAACCCTAA